AAATAAGTTTCAATATAAATTCTCAATTTCTTTGACTGATTCCTCACGTTTTCTGTAAATATGTTTGCCTGCGTTGCATTCTCTCCCTAGACTACCGAAAACCAAGGAGACATACTTACTTTTTATTTGTAAAGCAAAACCACAGAGGAAATTTACATTTTCAATTTTTTCTACTAAACACGAAAGTAAAATTGTAATAATTTTTTTCTTATTTTCAATATGGCAATACACCTCTCTAAATCACAATTTTTTAACTCTTTTAGCACACTATTTAAAAAAAAACAAGTTTTAAAATTTTAGTGTGCACAGTAATTAGTAATCGAAATTAATTGTTTTCATACACACAAATTTATATGAAAATATTATTATTAGAAAAAGTTTGAACGATCATCAACTTTTTTGATGGTGTTTAAATGAAGGAGGACTTATTAAAAACAGCTACTTTTCCAAATTGTTAGATAAATAAATTTTTAAATATATATGTATATTTTTATCTTCCAGAATTGAGACCTTAAGTAATTTTTATTGTTTTTGAAAAGATGACAGAAGTTAAAAACGATTTTTTTTCAATACAGTTCAGTTTGAACCATATTTCATGCAGGTCTTAACTCTGAAAATATAACGGTCTATTACTGAAGAAATGTCAAACATTATCACTATTGTGTAATTCACTTCCATTCGTCTGGCCTCAAAGCACATCCATTCAAACTATGTGTCTCAGACCTTTCTGTTTTCTGAATCGTTTTTATGATAAAAGTTTGTTTGCCTCGTGAAATTCCAACTCGGAAGTGGCCAATTGACACCGCCGAAGTGGCTAATAAAACGATTCAATAATTTGGCGACAATGAATCGGATTTTTTTTTCACATGTATCATATTCTATGTCCTTTTACTGAAACAAGAGATGTCCAAGTCCGTGTCTTAAATTTTCGGGCACACCATATATTTTATTATGTCTTTCTAACCCTCTCCGAAATGAAATTTCTCTTCGATCGCGCACAGGTTTTTCAGTCAAAGAAAAAAGAAAAGAACTAAGTACATATGTAAATCGAAAACAGGAAAATAGATTTTGCTGATAATATATCCCTAGACTGATGCCTTATGGACTGATTGTTAAAGCTCATTTCTAAAATTTTATAATAATATACGATTTGCACAATATATTATACTGCTCAACTTTCGTGAAAGCGAACTCGACAGTATTTTCTTAAATTGCAAATTATGTCAGTTTAGATTTAGTTATTGCTCTTTTAAATAAACTTTTAAGAGGGCTTTTAATTTAAAAAATATTTATCAGTTCCGAGTTCTCTTATTAAGAATGAAATAAATATCACACTTAATTAGAATTTACATACAAATTAAATAACATTCTTTTATCTTGCAATTGGCTTTAAACACATTAAATCATTTTTGGAACAGACACACACAAACGAAACACACTACTGCAATTTTTTTCCGAATAAGTTACTTTAAACCAAGAATTTTTTTAAACTTTCCCTTTTATATCAAATCTAAATAATCTGCACATAAACGTAAATTGCTTTTTCCTTTTGTTAGCTCGTCAATGTTCTAATTGCTGATGAGCAGTGCATGGACTGGCACAAACTCAAAACCAAACAATAAAGAATATTCATAAACATATACGTACATTATTATGTAATAAAAAAAAAGATTATGCATTTATATGGTAATAATATAATTACATATGCATATGTATACAGTTATGTAATTACAAATGCAAGTATGAGCCCCTTATAGTGTATGTTATATACCACTTATGTAATTGCCCCATATTTATGGTTAATTGATTGATTGATGACACCAGACGTAGTTATATATTTGAATATTTGGACTTGCAATGTTGCTACTTAGGTATTTGAATTACATATATGCCTAATTATTGGTATTTGTTATGAGAATTATACAGTAATCAATTACAAATATATTTGTACAGCTAAATAAGTATGTATAATAGAGATTTATAAGCAGTAGAGATTCGATAAAGATTCGATAAAGTTTACGAACGTGCAATTTGATGTCTACAAGTAATTACATGCATTACAAGTACTCGAAACCGTTTGAAAATGTATTGCAGGCTATACATTTACGTTGAAAGTAAACTATATACCCATAGCAGCACAGGAGAGCACATTTGTTTAACTATAAAACTATATAAATTGCACGTTGCTCGATTTTTTTATCAAATCTCGCACAAAATACCCAAACAAAAAATAATTAAAAATTATCAAAACCATTAATAAAACACTCACACACACTTGCAGGTCTAAATAATATATTATAAAAATTAAATCTACAAATAATCAGTAATTTAAACAATATATAGTACATACATATATACACATGAGTATGTAGAAAAATAAGTTATGCGTTTGTATGTATTTTCGGTAAAGTAAATTAGGTATCATTCACCCAAAAGCATTGTATGTAAACATAAACATCACTGCAATACGTTGGAAAGATTATATAAAACTATATATATATATATGTATATACCAATGTTTATACAAATTTACACTTGTTACAAAGCAAATGTAAATACGTTCTTGTAGTGTTTCACAACATATTACACACCTCTCTATTTATAAATAAGTAAAGAATATATAATCAGTTGCGTTTAGAGCATAGACAAAGAATTCGTAGGTGCGTATACGTAACATTTTAACAACTTACTTTAAATACAGTATTAAACGGCTGTTCAACATGATTTGATGAAATGATAGTAGGCACAACCAACACAACTGTAAATATGTATTAGTTACTCAAGTAGCTGTAATAATAATAATAAGAAATACGTTGCGTTCTTTTGCTTATTCCTAAGTACACTTTAGTACTTGTATGCAATAGTGCTGCTGATGAGAAGAGTATGGGAAAATTTAAAAGATTTATAACATAGATAAAAATTAAAACAATTTAAAAAATAAAAAGTATCGTAAAAAGTTTAAAAAACAAAATTTAAAATTTAGGAAAAGTTTAAAAAAAAGTTATAAAGACATGGCAACCTTATGAAACCCCCTAGCTACGTGCCTATTGTGACTAATCGCTATCGTAAACGGCAACAACAATTGCGATTGAAATTTAGTTAAATTACAACGTTTTGGTTAAAAGTTTAGTTGCGTTGGATGCGGCTTTCGCTACGCCAGGATACACACACGCCGCTGCAGCTTAAACACTAATCGCGCATTTGAAGAACCGTTTGTTTATTTCTTTCGTAGCAGCAGTAGCGCAAGCTTTTGGTCTTCTTGACACGTACCAATTCGTAAAAGTATGCGCTGCCTTGAAACCTCTTGGCGATGGAATGGCTTTAGACAGCTCAACGATGAGTGTAGACAGTGCAACAAATAATGCGAAGTTATGTGTTTTAAAGATTTTTTAATCGTATGTAAAAATAATTTATAAACGAGCTGTTGATTGGCCTAAGGCTGAATACATATTAGAGTAACTAGTAACAATTATATATAGCATATTTCATTAATAACTGAAAACCTTACGAATAACGAAAATAAATATCTTACGATACCTAATGGTACCAACATCGAAACCCGTCGACAATTTTTCTGTTGACATGAAGGCCTTTTCTATTTGACGTACTTTTACTTCAACCGTAATGACGTCAGTAGCTTCACTTTCTTTCATAAGTCTCTTAAGTTGTGGAAGCCGAAAATTCGCAGAATAGCTAAGTTCGGCGGCTGAAGCAATATGTTATTATGGTGCAACATTATCTCACAAAAATGGCTTAGAACTTGATGATAATATTTCTTGTAGATTGTTTGATCTTGTGTTAAGGATTTGCACAACTAGGACGTACACAATTCCTCAACACTAGATTCTTTTATTCTTTAAGCTTCACTCTCTGAAGACATAATACCGATCATAAAAAGTTTCCATTCAAGAACTTAATTTAGATCTTCTGATTTGTATGACAGCCATATGCTATTATGGTATAAAAAAAATGTCGGTATACTCAGTCTGACTTTTTTAATAAAAGCCGAAGTTGTATAATTATTTTTAAATATTCGAGTATCAGTTTGCTAAAATGTATTTATTTAAATTCAATTATGTTGCTTTATATCAAAGAATATACTAGGCATTTCTCGCATTGTTCGTTGGACTATTTACAAAAAAAAATATAACCTATCATATACTAACATAATATATCGTTTGGGTAAGGATATGAGCAACGATTCTTTTACAAATACAATTTCCCCTCTGCGCGCCTCGCTATGCCAAAGGTAGTAAGTCTTCTATAAACCAGTTTAATAGCGAATTTCATCAATCACTCGCATCGTTTACTTATGCGAAATATATCTAACTAATACTAAAACATAAGTGTTTATGTAGTAGCTATACATTAACATTTACAATTACATATGCATATTTATATTTTGGAAACTCAAATCGAAATTAAAACATTCATTGATTTCTTATATGTATTATATAAACATTTGAAGCAAAACCAAACAACAACAACAAATTGTAAACCATCTTACAGATGTGGGCATGATTATGATGCAGACCGGAATGGTGAATCAAGGCATTACCTCAGTCCTTAATCAAATGGAGGGTATGCAAATTAGCCAAACAAAAACCCTAAAAAAATTAATAGTAATAATAATAATAACAATAATTTTAGTCAATAATCCAAACAAAATTTGCTTAATCCAAAATTAATGCGTAAAAAATCACATAACAAAAATAAAAAAAATGCATTGCGTTACGTTGCCAAATACATAGTTATTACAGTAAATAAAAAGTAAATTGCTAAAATCATTAATTCAAAGCAATTGCCTAAAGTACCTAACAAAAGCGTTAACTATACCTAAGTTAACTAAACCAGAAGTTACAATAGTTAAATGGCTTTTTGCATAAGCAAAGCTGCGCTATTTCATGTAATTTTCGCAATTTCTTTTAAATGTGCCTTATCATACTTACATACAGCGTACATAACTGTAACGCCCCTACACTTACATACTACACTTATATACTTTCCATTTATGTGTATATATTTAACTATTTTTGGCTGCTATATGAAGTTAATGATTATTTACTCTCTCTTCTACCACATTAATTTGCTAAAAAATAAAAAGAAACCAAAAAAAAAAATTAAAAATTAAAATACTAAATGCCCATCAAATGTATTGCTTAGCAACTTTGTAGAGTAAAAGTTGCCACTAAAAAATAATGCAAAACAATTTCCATACATAAGCCGCTTTCAAAATTGTACCGTTATCCATGCAGATAAGTAGGCGAAATACCTATCCTTCAAGAGAATTGTTGACGAAGCTTTAATTAGAACGAGCTTACATTAGGGCAATACAAGCTTAATACAACACGTTCTTTATGTAGACATAATTAGAACCTGGGCTTCGCTTATCTAATATTACGACTCTTAAAGAAATACGAAAACTTGAGCTGGTAGTTTTAAAAGTATTTTTCTGAAGATAATGCAATGAATATGAACCATTATATCATAAGTTCACTATAAAAAAATAAATATTTTCCTATATTTTAAAAACCCCAAATATTGGTTGCTCTGTAAATGCTCCAAGCCAAAAAACCTTCTTTATCTATACAAATAAAAATAATTTTATTGTTGAATTTAAAAATATTATATATATACTCTTTAAAAAGCTTTGCCATTCTTTAAAAGGAGCTAAAACATAAAGCATTTAGATATGTACAATATTTTATTCCACAAAAAGCTTTATAATTTCAGACAGATATTAATCCTTTATGCTGAAGCTTAAAACACGTATTCCCTCAGCGACTTAACTTCGATGCTTTTAGAAGATGTAGATAGTACAATATATCAAAAAATTTTAAAAATAATAATTTTTTTTGAAACAAATAACTTAAGACCAGGAAGATAATTGATTATAAAATTAAAAAAATTTACTTAGTTATATATCCAGAGTATATTATCCAGATTAAATAATTATATTAAATAATCAATTGTTTAAGGCTAAATTTAAGTACCGCATGATAATTTAAGAATAACGAAGTCCCATATGAACTCGTCTAAGGGTGCGAAAAAGATATGTATCATCTTTCTCTACTTCTATAGACATATGTATGTACATAGATTATGCAGATGATGCGATTGGTAGAGGTAAGCTGTGAGATCCAATGGGTTTCAGCCTTGACTTCACAAAGGCTCGATAGCTGACAACATATTTCGATACAAATCATTATTATCGCTTCATTTTAAGCCAATACAAGCTATGCCAATGCATAATCTAATTTCCATACCCTTGTTATAAGCCTCGGTTGGAATAGCCTTAAAATAATTTTGGGCTTTTCGGTTTTGGTTAATTTTTAGAATTCCCGTCGTTAAATTGTTCGATAGTGTTGACTCCATATTCGTCACCAGTACCATGTTCGTCAGCTACATTGTCAAGCATCTCTTTTGCGACCACTACACGACGTCGTTTTCGCAAAAAACTCAGGTCTTTTGGTACTGGACATTGACTCGTTTCATACCAAAAACATTAACAAAAATTTGTTGAGTTGATCAATGAGAGATGTAGATAATCTCTGCTATCTCTCTGATGCCAACACGACGGTTTTAAAGCAATGTTTCTTTAACTTTTTCGATGCGCATGTGTCATGTTTTCGATGATTTTTGCCACTCGAATACTTGTATTCATGAGAGAGTAGACTCCCCAAAACACTTGTTCAATATTTTTTGAATTCTTAAATATATCAGTCGTACGTTTAAAACTGATCAAATTTTGAGTAACATATTCAACAATACAATGAAGCTCACGTTACCTTAAATAAGCTTATGTTATATAATTGAACGAACCCCAGACTTCAGTCAATGAATGACGATCGATTCTTGAACCATGTGTTTTGACAGATTCAGTGAAAGCCAAACTAAGATACAGTGATTATCAAATAAATACACAGATAAAGCTGGTAATATGTGCAATATGAGGGTCAGTCACTGGAATATATAACATTTATGCAGATACACATATCATCTGCATACTATACAAGAAGAGTGGCTGATGTTTCACCGTTGTACAATATCTCACTATCATCATAACAATCATTTTGCACTTCTTCTATATGTAAATCTTAGATTCATATATTTTTAATGAATTTACCTACTTCAATTTTCAATTTTCGATAATACTTTATCGTAAGAAAAAAAAGATTTTATGTCCCTATGGCAGTAGTAGTAGTACTAACAAGCCACGGTCTAATAGGCAGACATGCAAGTAGACTTGGTACGCCATATAACGACCAATGTAGAAGATGTCAGGAAGTAGAAGAGGAGGAGACCATTAAACATCTTCTATGCGATTGTGCAGCACTATATAGAAAAATAATCGCAGCCATCGGTCGTGGGTCTTTGACGACGTCTCGGAGGTTGCGCGGATAAAACTTGTCTCACTGATGAAGTTCATTAGAAGTACGGGGTGGCCTCAGAGAGGAGCCAATAGAGAGAGGGGACCACAGTCCCGGTGGTATCACAATGGGCCTCCTAAAGGCCTAGGTGGGTCGAAAGACAGCCACATTACCTACCTACATAGCATTGATATAGATTTTCTACAATTACTTGAAAACAGAGGGGCTATATCCACTTGCAAGTCAGAAATTTTTTTTGATTTTTGTTTTTTGAAAATGCGTTCTATTTAATAAATAAATAAAAAAATGTACATTTATAGAGTTTAATGTACCTCAATATTTGGCGATTCATCATCAAATTAACGTTCTTGATTCCATAAATTATCAAGAGGAGGACCTACGATAGTAAAATGTTTATCCTAACAATTATTTCAGATCCAAATCCAAAAACCAGAAAAATATTATTATTATAGAACTATTCAAGATTTTATATCTTGACAAAATAGACAAATTTATCTTAGAAGTCGTGTGGAATTTTGAAGTAGGTTGATCCAGAAGTGTGTGACAAAATTTTCCTCAGCGACTCTGAAAAAGCATTTCGAGAAAAACGCATTTAAAATTTTGGGAGCCGAAAACACTAAGTTAAAAAATTATTAGAAAATACACTCATAACTCCGAAGCTATTTACTTGATCAACAAATTTTCGGAGAATATTCTCAAAAATATGTACGTTCTATAAATATACAAAAAAAAATTAATTTTTTGAACTTCAAATGTGTATATAACCCCTTAAAGAGGCTATAAAGTACTATTTCTAGTCAACATGAGCTAAAGTGACGTCATAAAGCACATATAATATTAGCTTAAATTTACTGTTAGCCGATTAACAGTTTGATATCAAGTAATAAACATTAATGGGCAGGTCAACATTTTTAATATTGGGAATTAATTGCTAGCTACACAGGAATACATTAACTATAAGACGTCAAAACAAAAAGGAAACAAAGTAAATAAAAAATATCATAAACTGAAATGTTTATCGAGATTTCTTAAACAATCAACTTTTTGTTCGAAAAACTAATTTTTACAAAATGAAATATATAATAATTTCGATAGATTTAAACAAATATAAAACTCCATCTTAAGCAGCTCAATGAAATATAGATAGTATAACTGGTACGAGCTCTGCGATTACTTATTCTTATATTATATAGGTATATATACAGACTAAAATATAAAACTTTAAATTACTATCTACTAAATATTCAAACACTATCTAGTGTTTTCGTACTTAAGGCTATGGATAATGTGTCACATCTGTTGTATTAAAACATAATTTTCTACTTTGTAAAATTAAAAGCATTCCTTTTGTTTTGTCAGTTTTTTTCATTCATTTCGACATTATTTCCTTATATGCTAAATTTTGGTTTTGGTAATTTTGTGTTCTTTTTTTCTGTGATTTCATTTTGATTAGAATAACGAAAAACAAAAAAAATATCAACATAAATCTCTCATTATTCTGTCATTACCTTTTCACACCTTCCTCTCTAAACAAAAAACGTCAAACAAAATAAACTGTGTGTATTTCTATGAACGAAACAGTGGCCACATTCAGGAAAGGCGTCCGCGCCGTCCAAATGGTGGGACGTGCAAGTACGTATAAAAATTCAAATAAGCCTTTAATACATGTTCTTATTTTGTCTTTAGTTTTATTTCAATTTCAAATTCCATTTACTGGCATATTTTAATTTTGAATTATGTGTTTTCGGTATTATTCCCATGCGAAGCTTTATTAATTTACACCAACAAGCTAACATTTTATATACATACGGCATAACAGACATTTCTGTTGTAATTCAAAGGGCATAAGTGCACATACATATATATACATATATACACTGTTATTTACATTTGAAAATATAAAAAAATTTCAAAATGTGCTAGAAAATATTTTTTGTTCAGAGTTCTTAGCGTATATACATAAGAAGAATCGGTCACGTGACTACCAAAAGCAAGTAGAATTTAAGGCAGCACAGTTTAATGAAGATAAAAACATAATTAGGAAGAAAAAATACGTGGTTGCAGCAAAAACTCAAGGTGGCAAGTTTTTGCCGTGTCCTCCACTTTGCTCACGACCCGCCACATTTCCCTTAAAATGCTTACAAACTATTTTTATGTGTCGCCCTTCACTTCACCTAACTTAACAGTAAA